CCACAGCGATGGTGCTCCGATGGTTGACGCCCTTACTCTTGGCGTAGCTCCGGCTCTCGTCGTGAAGTGTGCAGAGAAAACGACAAGAGGGTACGTTGAAAACAAGCCGATATCACGCGACATGCACGTCCACCCGTGAACTTGGTTACGGTGGAATCTGTTCAACCATACCGATAAATCGGTTTTTGTCAACGGGAAAAGCCTAACAGTTATATGAAGCACAGCCACGGACATAGCTACAACAAGCTGATTAAAAGCTAACCTCTGCAACTTTTTCTGTAACCCCTTGCTTCCAACAGAATCTTTGGCATGGACATAACGAATTGTTAAGAGTAACCCTGTTCTCAAACACCATGCACTGTAACGAGACCTCCCGGAAAACTGTTCAAGCTGGAAACTTGGAACAATGTTTGCATGAACTGCACTGATGGTTTTCAATTATTCTCCATTTTCAAAGTGGCAGCGATGCAAATTAACTGCTTAGGCACTAGAAGGAGGCTCTATCTAAGATCTAACATTCACATGAAGCTCCTTTCTATTCCATTCAACTCCCGCAATGCTCTACCCTCAACCTTTCCGAATGTTTTCAGCCTTGACTACTCTGCTTCACCGGAAGAAGTAACTTGATCCCCTCTCCCAAACGTCTGATACGCAAACTAGGCAAGCCTGGCAACTTGAGCTTCTAAGCGATATGCTACATTTGGGCATAGGAATTCGACACCAGATTTTCTGAGCTAGGCTGAGTAAGTTGTAAAATTGCAGCATCAGAATCACCTATAAACATACTCACCATTGCAATATCACCTAAAATACGATCCGGCGAAGTTTTGTTGGCTACCTTCTCACAGACGAAATCCACGAGCGCTCCTTCTTCCTCACCTGCAAGTAATCCAATTACGGATTTTAGAGAGAAATTGAAGCTATTTGAAACCGTTCCAGAAATTTCAGAACTCCTATTTGGCCCAACGAGAGCTTTTTTACGTTGCTTGATAGCCATTAGCGGAGAATGGATACAAACGAGCTCCCAGCCATTCCTCATTAGGCTACAATTCTGCTGATACGATTTTTTCCAAGAACTGGGATACATATTCCGTAAATTGGAAAAAAGAGACGCGACCCCCCGCAACAGACGCGAAAATAGCCTGGCCGCCAACTGGATATTATAATGCAAAAAACCTCACCCAAAAATTCCATAATTTTCTTCGCTACCCACGGCCGAACACGTTGTTCGATCAATGGTCGGTCGACATATCGCCAATCAATTGTATGAGCAAACAATTCCTCTGAAAATTTGCATTTTCTACGGTGATACGATAGTACCTGGTGCCAAGAACAAGGCAACCGAGACATATAAAATTCAAAGAAATGAATTTAATTACCATATTTTATCACTTACCTTTCGTAGTCGGTATATTATTGATGAGATCTTTGACCATGCGTTTCTTTTCATCGGTCGTCAGAGTCTCCATCCGATCCTCTTGCGTAATTTCGAACGGTCGTAACTTGTTACGGCCGCCCTCTTCCTCTTCGTCATCCACTCCTGGAAATTGAATGCCGCGTCGTGGTAACGACATACGACCTCCACTCAAGGCAAGGGGAGGACAAGGAAAAAAGGAGGTATGGCGTATCATAAACATTATGCCCGTAATGGCTTCCCAAGTAATGGAAGACAGCAATAGTAACATACCAAAAACTCCATTGAGCCTAGAATTCAACTCTGGACGTGGCACAGCCGGTAACGATGCACTAGATGATGCACCACGTAACGTAACAGGAGAGGAAACACTCATAGGAGTTGACTGTGATGTGACATCAACTGAAAAATCAACTGTTTTCAAAAATTCTTCACATATCGCCTAATAAGAAAAAGATGCACACCGCAAAAACGCATGGTTATAGAGAAATGCGCGGATGGGCTTTGCAAATTGATCAAATTTGCACTTTTTTCGTGCACCCTGCCAATCAACCACAATGCCATGCAAAGCAATGGTGGCAGAGTAACGGATAAGCACTGTGTATGTAAATCAAAAGAACGGGTTCTAGCCGCAGATACGCTGACATATTCTCCCATTACTAAAAAT